CAGTGTGAAAACTTAAGGATATGTTATGGCGAAATTGCGAATACTTTTTGACTTATCGTCGTATAAAAATGGACATTGGGGTTAACACAGTCGGTTTCATGCTTGAACGCATTCTTCAGACTTGCATGTGAGTCCCATCAAAGTGATTTACACAAGAAATGATCGCAAAATGAAAGCGGGAATAAGAGGATTTCACAAATGAAGACTTAAAATGACGGTCTCATTGTTACTTCAATGTAGCGGTAGCCTCGTTATGGTAGTTTACCGCGCTGCTTGTCGCTGGACTCCACCATATTCCCCTTCCTCTGTTCGGACTCATCTCCGAGGAACGAACAAAAGAAATGAGAAATTTAGCTCCAACCTCTAATTAATGGAAGCCATTTTACGAACGGAAACTCAGCGTTTATTAATGGGGGCCGTCCACTGAAACCTTCACTTCATTAGGGAAACTGTAACAGAGGCGGGAAAAACTCCACCTTCACTTGTGTTATTGGTCATAGCAGCTATATTAGCAATGGCCGTAATAACAGTTGTAGTCGAATGCGTTGGTAGCAGATCGCGTGGTTTGGGTCGGGTTATTAGGTGTGTTACTGAAATGAATCTTTTTCTCATGAATGCTCTGTGAGTTTGCATAATTTTGTGTGGGTGGGACAGAAATGATGATGATTAGTATTATTATTATTTTTTTTAAATTCAGCAACATCAGGTCTCTATTTAAAATAAGTTTGCCGTAAAGTTTTCTTTCTCGAGTTTTACGAAAGTTAATTTATTTTTTAAATCATTTCAAAGAAAGTTAGTTTCTATTGGTGATCTCACGCACAAGAAAAGTTTCTTAAAAACTGGCTAAAGAAAGTCTCACGCTAAATAATATTTGCTAAAATCATGACATGGAGTTTGTTATAGGTAAGAAGATAATTACAATTTTGCTAAAATTAATATTTATTATTACATTAATCAAATGAAGTAGTTTTGTCGTTTTATTTATGGTCATTTTTCTGTAGCCTTTTTCATGAACATGTTGCTCCGAAAGTAATGACTGCATTTTATTATGTAGGCTCATGACGTCAGATATTGCTAGTATGGACATAGTAGACGAAATTTTATGCAAATAACTCATAGCAGTAACTGAAATAAAAAGCAAAAAATATATATATTTCTTGGAGAAGTACGTTTTGTAGAAGTGAAAATAGTGCGACCTATAAAGTTTAATTATCTCTCATCTGTGACGAAGCTTATTTTATTCTGGCAAATTTGTGAATTTTTACGAAGTAGGAATCAAATAAACTCCCGTCAGTTGGTTTACCAGTTAATTTAGATCTTCATTTACTTGCGCCAAAGGTTCAAAGATCAAATGAGATGTAGGGATTAAAAGGGGCGATTATATCCTTTTGGCTGAGATGAAGGTACAATGACGAGTGATATCAGTTCACAGAGGGCAGTATTTATCACACCTGAGGGCAAGATGTATCGGCCCACGCCAGTTGTGAAGTAGGCTGAAGAGAGGACGAACATCACAGTTCCAAAGCAATAGGGCATACATGGTTTCACCTGAAATATAAACGGCACCACTAACCTACACATTTTCCGTTGGGAAATATTACAAGTAATACCCAATCTCTTTTCGTCTTTTTCACATTGCTTGTTGTTTACATTGGTTATTAGTTTTCAGTGTGGAGCAAATTAGTAACAAGTACGTATATATTGGTATAGAAAATCTCTTTGAGAACCATGCATATTTGTCGTCCCTTTCTTTCAGCTATTCTGTACTGTTCGTATATTAAGGTTTTATTATACCGCTGATCTAATAATGCCTGTAATGGGAAATGTAAACTGATATTATTAGTTCTTGCATAACATCCCTATTAGAAGTATATTTGGAAAAATAATTTCTATATAATTTATTACATTAAATATCCAACGTGTCCCAAATTCTTTAAATTTAATATATGACGACGATATAATTTTACATTAAATATTTACAAAAATAAATTATATAAAAACAAGCATTTGTCTGACGACGACTCCTAGACAGGAGTCATCGAAATTACTGTGCTTAAAAGTTGTTGTTTCTGTAGTTTGAATAAGTCTGTATTGCTACGACGTCACTTGTACAAATCCAGATACCGCTGGTTCAATTCGCCGTTCTTGCTTTCTGAACACGTCACAACGTATATCCGTATATTTCTTCTGTCCCGTTTCACTGCTTCAGCCCTCTTTTATCAGACCAACGCCGCGGTCGACCAACCATTCAGCGTTCATCGCTTTTATTCTCAGTTACCCAGGCAAATAACCTACTCCAGTTCGACCAATCAGCACACGACTTGCTATTGGTGGGTTAGGGTTATTGGTGAAAGCATGCCAAACTGTACAAAAACCCCCTCGTTACCGCACATACTGTTAGACGGGATAGTAATGCCATTTTCACGGGGAAAACTTGCCCATGTCACGTGCCGCCCGTTAAGGTAAGAAGCTTATTTTCCTATACAGCAGATGCAAGCCACTCTGGCTCACTTTCTTGTACGGGGCTGTTCACCACAGTTTCATATAAATTTTCAACTGAAAGCAAACTATTTCTCATGTAACGAACATCAAAATATTGTATTTGTCATAAAATTATTATACTTGTGTTCATGTTTAAAGAAACAGTCTGGGAAATTATGTCATATTTAATAAATTTAATTATTAAATTACAAATACTTGAAACATTTTAAACATTTTAAAATAAACAAAATTATATAAATAAACTTAACAATCACAATTTATTCATATTGTCAACTGCTTTGCCCGGATCAAAACAAAATACCAATTTTTAAGTTTGCTAAAGGCAATAAAAATCTTTTCCGTTACTTGATGAGAAGTAAGATCTTGAACTTTTCTATAAAATCATGTAACGAGCAAGCTTTGTATTGTTATAAACGTGATATTTTAGTGGTGTTTTTTTTACAGGAAAATGAATTTTTTTCAGTCTACAGATCGAATATCCAAAAGAGAAAATATTCCCCGCTGGCATGAATCGGAACTTTGTTCCCTTTTCCAATCAGGAAAACCACTTTTAATCTGTATTTTACTACTAAGCCACGGGAAGCCATCACCGTACAACAAAGCTCTGTACATCTTTTCAGAACTTTTATTTGAATTAAGTATATTAAGATTTGAAGAAATCAAGTAAGAGAAGTAACACAAAATAATGCATGAATTGATCCACCAACTCTTTTAGATCTTTCTATATCAAGTTTACAATTCGTCCATGCATCGAATATTACTGACACATCTGATTTGGTGCTTCTGATATATATTTAGAGATTTTATATAAGATACAAAGAAGAATCCTTATTATTATGTCCTGAAATAGCATCTCGGCTTCAGTCACTTTCCTACCGTCGTAACGTAGCTTCCTTGTGCTTTTATATACATATTTTCATGATAATTATTCTGATGAGCTTTGGTATCTAGATTTTATGAATTTAAATGGCATACTATATTGGCAGCTAGGTCTCATCATTTTACAGTTGAAATGATGGATTCAACCGTAAGTTCTATGCTAACAGATTCTTCTCTATGATCATCATAAATGCAGCGTCATTCGTTGTCATCTGTCTTCTTGAATCCTCTTCTTTTTGTTGTCCTTTCTCCCTGGTAAATTTTTTTGTCGGTTTCTTTCATTCTCAGTAATCTCACGCGTCTTAGTGGCTTTATCTCCTTGCTTGAAGGTCTCTCTTAAAAAAGAATGAGCCCAGGAAGTTCCCCATTCTTTGGGGACGTAGAACCATTGGAGAGAGAGAACAAACTAGTTCGGGATTTAATAAGCAACTCTTTTAAGTCCGGAAGAGAGGGTTCGAATTGTGTATGGAACTCCTAAAGTTTTAAGATAAAATGCAATATCTATTTTATTTGTGTGTGATTGTGTGTGTGATATCTTTCACAGAGCAGACAGATACTACTCTCTGATCCTAGAAAGATGGCCAGAAAGGATATTTATCTGTACGCTTACTCTAAAGGAATGTGGCATAAGGCCGTGTTTAAAGTGTGAGTCCTACGTGTAAAAGAGGCCAGTAACAAAAATTTCTCAAGCTCTCACGGACTTTCCATTTTGAGGACGTTTCATACGCCAACGAAGAACCCTAACCCCTCCCTTGGGTGGTGTATTACTGAAAGGATGGCCTCCTATGACTGGAGTACATTTTACGTTATTTTAACTGTTGGTTGTACCAGGAAAGATTTGATCGTAAGTATATTGGACAAATCTGATCCGAAGCAGCCGTGCTTGGCCGATCAGTAAATAACTTCATCATTTTTAACGGGTAGTATTCTAATGTTATAAATAAAATTATACCGTGCATCAGATGTATAGTGCCTGGAAGTTTTGTATAATTTAATAATCTTAATAAAATTCTCCATTATATTTGCAGTATATTTTCTCATCTTTTCTTCTTTTTCATCAAAGATTATTTCAACTATATTTTTGAACCAAATTGTTTGTTCGTATAGCGAACGGGCACAAAGATCGATACTCTGTAGAGAAGAACAAAATCAAACATCATAAATATTGCGGCAAGGGTCACTCTGGCCAATCAACATGTAAAGACTTCGATTTTCGGTTAATCGATATGTTTATCGAGGCTTATTTGTCAATGCGATAAAAAACAGGGTCAGGATTATTCTTAGAACAACAGATTTTAAAAATATCAACCCACCCAAAACAAGTTACGCAGGTTCAGTATATATATATATATATATATATATATATATATATTTGTGAGCGGAATTTCTTCAAAGGTTTATGGAATTGATAATATTTATTCTTAACTCAACTTACACAAGGAAGGCTTTGCATTGTTTCCGTCAGTAGTGATGTTACTTTTTTAATTTTATCTAACACACCATCTTGAGTCGAAGAATTGAATTATTGTCTCCATGCGTGACTCAAATGACGGATTGATTCGAAGTGGAATCGTAGAGGGCGCAAGTGCTGAAAGTGGTTTCGTTTAGAAAGTAGAAAAATGTTGAATCCAAATGTGTTTGCCAAATATTTAAGAAATGCAAACGCAGATTTCTTTCTTTCTTTCTTTCTTTCTTCATTGATAGATATTTTTCATTTTTTATTCAAGTTTCTTTTCTTCTTATTGTTTTATTCATGTTTCTTTTCCTTTTCTATTCTTTTCGTCTCATTATATTCCGCTCCCTTATTTTCTTTATTCCATCTTTCTAACAGGTCCACTTTTCAGCCATAGTTTTTCTTTCAACGTTCCGTCTTTCGTTCTTTCTTTCTTTCTTTGCAATTTTTTCTTTCTTACATTCTATGTTATCTTTTTCTTTCTTTCTACCCTTTCCTTCCCTTTGTACGTTTGTTTCTTTGTATGTTCTCTTTTTGCTTTTATTCCTTTTAACGTCTTTTTTTGAGATTCCTCTTTCTTTCATTCTTTTTTCTTTCTTTCTTTATATGTTGACTTTTCTTTATTTACAGTATTTCGCTATTTTTCTATGTTTTTTTTCTTTTCCTTCTTTTTTTTTGACATTCTCTTTCTTTCTTAGCACCCTACTCTGTTTCTTTCCATTTATGCCGCTTATTTTTATATGTCATTTCTTTCTTTCTTTCTTTCTTTTTTCTTTCTTTCTTTCTTTCTTTGTTTTCAAGACCGTTACGTTTTCGTTCATTAGAAATTCTTCTTTTCTATGATAATTATCTAAACATAGCTTATATCTAGTACAAGGCCGAAAGTATGGGGCACCCAGAGAGGATCGAACTAATATCCTCTTTTCTATGATTTTCTTTTTTCTTGGAACTCTTCTGCTTTCGTTGACTCTCTCTTTCTTTCTTAGCACCCTCCTCTTTTCTTTGACTATAGTTCTACCTTCTCTTTTCTTTCACTCTCTCTTTATTTCTTAGAACCCTCCTCTTTTCTTTAACTATCTTTCTACATTTTCTTTTCTTTGAATCTTTCTTTCTTATTACCCTCCTTTTTTCTTTGACTATCTTTCTACCTTCTCATTTCTTTGAAGCTCTCTTTCATTCTTAGCACCCTCCTCTTTTCTTTGACTATAGTTTTTCTTTTCTTTTCTTTCCTCTCTCTTTTTTCTTAGCACCCTCCTCTTTTCTTTAACTATCTTTTTACATTTTCTTTTCTTTGAATCTTTCTTTCTTTATCACCCTTTTTTTTCTTTGACTATCTTTCTACCTTCTCTTTTCTTTGAAGCTTTTTCATTCTTTGCACCCTCCTCTTTTCTTTGACTCTCTTTTTCTTTCTTTTGCACCTCCTCTTTTCTTTAACTCTCTTTTTTTTCTTTTGCACCCTCCTCTTTTCTTTGACTCTCTTTTTCTTTCTTTGCACCCTCCTCTTTTCTTTAACTCTCTTTTTCTTTCTTTGCACCCTCCTCTTTTCTTTGACTCTCTTTTTCTTTCTTTGCACCCTCCTCTTTTCTTTAACTCTTTTTTCTTTCTTTGCTCCCTCCTCTTTTCTTTGACTCTCTTTTTTTCTTTTCCCTCTCTTTTCTTTGACTCTCTTTTCTTTCTTTTGCAACCCTCCTCTTTTCTTTGACTCTCTTTTTCTTTCTTTGCACCCTCCTCTTTTCTTTAACTCTTTTTTCTTTCTTTGCTCCCCTCCTCTTTTTTTGACTCTCTTTTTCTTTCTTTGCACCCCTCTTTTCTTTGACTCTCTTTTCTTTCTTTGCACCCTCCTCTTTTCTTTGACTCTCTTTTTCTTTCTTTGCACCCTCCTCTTTTCTTTGACTCTCTTTTCTTTCTTTTGCACCCTCTCTTTTTTTAACTCTCTTTTTCTTTCTTTGCTCCCTCCTCTTTTCTTTGACTCTCTTTTTCTTTCTTTTGCACCCTCCTCTTTTCTTTAACTCTTTTTTCTTTCTTTGCTCCCTCCTCTTTTTCTTTAACTCTTTTTTTTCTTTCTTTGCACCCTCCTCTTTTCTTTGACTCTCTTTTTCTTTCTTTGCACCCTCCTCTTTTCTTTAACTCTTTTTTCTTTCTTTGCTCCCTCCTCTTTTCTTTGACTCTCTTTTTCTTTCTTTGCACCCTCCTCTTTTCTTTGACTCTCTTTTTCTTTCTTTGCACCCTCCTCTTTTCTTTGACTCTCTTTTTCTTTTCTTTGCTCCTCCTCTTTTCTTTGACTCTCTTTTTTCTTTCTTTGCACCCTCCTCTTTTTCTTTGACTCTCTTTTCTTTTTTTTTGCACCCTCCTCTTTTCTTTGACTCTCTTTTCTTTCTTTGCACCCTCCTCTTTTCTTTAACTCTTTTTTCTTTCTTTGCTCCCCTCCTCTTTTCTTTGACTCTCTTTTTTCTTTCTTTGCACCCTCCTCTTTTCTTTAACTCTTTTTTCTTTCTTTGCTCCCTCCTCTTTTCTTTGACTCTTTTTCTTTCTTTGCACCTCCTCTTTTCTTTGACTCTCTTTTTCTTTCTTTGCACCTTCCTCTTTTCTTTGACTCTTTCTTTCTTACCGCCCTCCACTTTTCTTTGACTCTCTTTCTACCTTCTCTTTTCTTTCACGTTCTTTTTCTGACTTTCTTTTATCCAACTTATGTTTCTTTTTTCTGTCTTTCTTAGTGTTTTTCTCTCTTAGAAAGAAAGAATTCATGATACTAATAAATGAATGAAAAAGTTTAGAGGAAAAATAAATGAAGTAAAAAGGGCGTTGAAAAGTCGGGTACAAAGAACAAAAGAATAAAAAATAAAGCACTAAATTATTAAACTGCTTTTATATAACATTTTTCATTGTCCTTCTTTTTTAGTTTTTACTTCATTCATTAGTTAATGAATATCTCTACCAAACCGGTCGAAGTAAACGATGCGTAACGAAAATGCTTGATTCTCAGTACGTAACGCTAACAAAGAACCATCAACTCTTATGATAACCACGATATAAATATATATTAAATGAATTTGAAGTGAGAGCAATACAAAACACAGTTCTTTCGATACGAGAATCTCAGCTTTAAATTCTATGTTAGTAGAAGTGTTTGGTATTTTTTTTTTCTTGGTGATCACGCGCTGGGTTATTTAGTTCGTTTATGACGTTAGTTCGATCTTCACTGACTGCCAAACTTGCGTTGGATACAACATGATAATTTTAGCATTTAATTTTTGATGCGAATCTTTGCCGGAAATTCATGTTTATATCCAAATTCGAATTTTGAGTACACATTTCGAATGATCTCCTAATATCAGAATTATTTTTTCCAGTTCTCGGATTATGCTGTTTCTAATTCATTTTTTACAAATTCATGCTTCTTTCCAAAATAAAGGAACACGTGATAGCGAGCATGCGCGCAAAAAACACACACACAAACATATATATATATATATATTAATATATATATTATATATATACTAATGTATATATTGATATATATATTAATATATATTAATATATATATATTAATATATATTATAATATATAGATATATTACTATATATTTATATATATAAATGTATATATACATATATATATATATATATATATATATACATATATATACATTTCGATTATAGGGGCAGTTTAATTTATAATTACATGAATCATTCATACAAAAACAGACGAAAGCTTGTAAAAACTAAAAAAAAAGACCTTATGAAACTGAAATTTATAAACAGGGATCATATCATTCATATACAGGTTCGGGGTTAGTGTATCTTATTGAAATTTTTGCGAAGATGTATTCTCGCCATTTAAATCATTAACCTCTATATTTGTTTTTGTATGAATGATTCATGTAATATATATACATATATACACATATATATATTCATATATATACATATATATACATATATACACATATATATACATATACACATACACACATGTACATATATGTACACATATATCTACATATACGTATATACTTACATACATATATGTATATACACATATGCATACATATAAACATATATATATATATATATATATATATATATATATATATATATATATATATATATATATATCATTGAGGTATATGTTGTTAAAGACGACGGAACTTTTCAGTTTAATAATTTTCTTTTCTGTTTTTTCTTCCTTTTCGCAAATTTTTGTATATTTGGGTCTAATTTGTTGATAAAAGCCCTAGTCCTTGTCGTTTTGCCGAGCGCTTTCGGTTTTTCGTCAACCGTTATCATGATTGTACGTTTTGGTTTGAAGTATGTTGTTTAGTATTTTATTTTATAGATATTATTTTGACTTTTAACCAGTGTTGTTGAATTAGTTCATTAGCAATTGGCAATATATATATATATATATATATATATATATATATATATATATATATATATATATTATACGCAAATCGGTGTATCTTATTCCTAGTTGTATCTTATTCCTAGTGAAACCATAGCCCAATAAAACGGACGTATGGTGGGCCTGATATGAAGAAATGGTTTTTTTCCTGTCACAACGCGGCTCAACTGGAAAGACAAGAAGTTTTGCATGAGGTTAGAAGTGGAGAGTCAAAATGACAAAGAACCCGTGCAAATGTTTATTTGGAAGGGTTGAAATAGTTACTAGAATCTGTTGAGTGAAAAATAACCCGACATTTGGCTTGACAAGAGGATTCTTCAGCATGACATTGCTTCTCGGCATGATGTATGATGAGTTCACGAGTTCTTCGCTATGAAATCCTTAAAAAAAATGGGCCATCCATCTCATTCACCAGACCTAGTATGCGCCCGTGAATTTTAGCTGTTTCCAAAACTGAAAAACGACATTAGGAGAATGTTGAGAAATAGCACGGATTTCTCTCAGTGTCTTATAATTTTAGCTGATCTGTTTTGATTTTGTGTATTCCTCTGCTACAGAGAAGTCCTTATATAAGATACATTTAATGATAGAGGGAAATATAAAAATATTTTCTATTATGGGATGAATCTACGGCTGATCATTTTATTTCCCATTGATTTATGCCTAAACCTGTTCTCAGTTCAGAGTTGATTTACTCGTGTATAATTTTACGTATTTTTCAAAATTACTTCTTGTTATGTTTCTCAGTTTCTATGTTAGACGAGGTCTGAAGTTCTTTTTGTGGATATTAGTGTGATGAATGCTTGTGAGATTTGCGAGACAGTTTATGTGACGAGTGTTATGGTCCGGTTCCTTTAGAACCAATAAAGAAGAACTCGAACACAGGTATGGAATAACTCAGATATATTACAAATAGTATTATATACAGAGAAGTAGAAGTATTAGTATGAACAATCAGGTTTAGTAGAGAGAACAACATAGTCTCTACCAGTATCATTATTCAATGTCTTTTTTGCAGTAATTGTCTGAACGCGACTCTGTTTGGATTGCCTCTGACTCGACTCTTGACAGACTTGAACTACTGAGGATATTCAGTCACCCCCACGAGGGTGTCATGTGGCACAAGGCCTTTTTAACGTGGCAGCCATTAGGCTCGGCCAAAATAAAGGCTTTTTTATAAACGGGTTCAATACCTCCCGAGGAGACTCCGCCCTTCGGCGTATTAGGTTCCTCGGCTGTAGGAAGAGTTTACCTGAACAGTCGGTTCAGACTTGAACTACTGAGGATATTCAGTCACCCCCCACGAGGGTGTCTGTGGCACAAGGAACGTGGGCAATTTGGAGCCATTAGGCTCGGCAAAAAAATAGCCCATTTGAACCCGTATAAACAGGTTCAGGCTGGATTTACCTCCCGAAGGAGACTCCGCCCTTCGGCGTAGCCTCCTTCGGGTTCCTCCTGCCCGTAGGAAGAGAGTTTAACCGAACAGTCGGTTCAGACTTGAACTACTGAGGATATTCAGTCACCCCCCACGAGGGTGTCATGTGGCAAAGGCCTTTTTAACGTGGGCATTCCCAGGCCATTAGGCTCGGCAAAAATAACCCATTTGGAACGATTTAACCTCCCCTGGAGGAACGGGTTCAGGGAAGAGGTTTAACCGAACTCAGTTCCTGAAGGAGACTCCGCCCTTCGGCGTAGCCTCCTTCGGGTTCCTCCCGCCCGTAGGAAGAGAGTTTAACCGAACAGTCGGTTCAGACTTGAACTACTGAGGATATTCAGTCACCCCCCACGAGGGTGTCATGTGGCACAAGGCCTTTTAACGTGGGCAATTCCCAAGCCATTAGGCTCGGCAAAAAAAATAGCCCTTTGAACCCCGTATAAACGGGTTCAGGGCCAATTTAACCTCCCGAAGGAGACTCCGCCCTTCGGCGTAGCCTCTTAGGTTCCTCGGCCGTAGGAAGAGTTTAACCAAACAGTCAGTTACTTGAACTACTGAGGATATTCAGTCACCCCCACGAGGGTGTCATGTGGCACAAGGCCTTTTTAACGTGGGCATTTAGGCTCGTAAAAAAATAGCCCATTTGAACCCACATGAACAGGTCCAGGGCCGGTTTAACCTCCTGAAGGAGACTCCGCCCTTCGGCGTAGCCTTCGGGTTCCTCCTGCCCGTAGGAAGAGTTTAACCAAACAGTCGGTTCAGACTTGAACTACTGAGAAATTCAGTCGA